AGCTACCAGTGCTGGTAACAGCAAGTACAGTTCTGGAAAACACCAGAAGCGGCTTCTCTTTCTGTTGTGGCTTATGAACAGTAAAACATAGCAGAGACTTCACTTTACACAAGGGCTTAACCAAAATCCTACTAAACAGCAACAGAGACTTAAATGGGATTTACTCTGCTGCTTCAGGTGTGCTGAGGAGCGAGTCCTGCTGCTGGCCGAGGGAAGGGGAAATGCGCTGAAGCTGACAGCGGCGTTGGAGGCAACCGGCCTGAGAATTCAGTTCATTGCATCGGGTGGGACGTTTTGAAAACGGCTGGAGGGGTTTGGAAACACAAGTCCGAGATGTCAGCTCCTCAGGAGGTTTATTTTTAGGTGCTGATTTGCTGCCCTAACTCCGAGGGTTCGTCCAGGGAGGATCAGCTCCATAAGCTTTTCCCAAACCATACAAGGCTCTGCTTTCACAGCACCAATGAGGAAATAGCACTGTCACACTGACACTCAACTGTCTACCTCTAACACATCAAATCTGATACATAAAAAAGGCTCGTGTGGCAATTTAAGCTACAAATCTTGCTCCTTTTTATTACTTTAAATCTCGCATCTCAAAATACATTCAAGTATTAAAAGGTATTTTTTTTAAATTTCCTTACTTCATTTCTTGAGCAGAAATTCTACGCTTCCAAACACCAAGTGCTTATCGTTTTTAGGCAGCACATGAAAGAAGGGGGAGAGATCTGTAGTTAAAGTAACAAATGTCTTCAATGCATTGGCATGCTCAGAGCATGATCTACATCGTCTTGGAGATGTCTCAAATGCCTCTGATCATCCCAAGGACATACTTTAGTCTGCTTATGGTGGCCTTGACACAGTGTCACAACTTCCCCCAAAACAAACAACGCTCCTTCAAGAACACACTGTTACGGCTCTGCGCAGAAATGCAAAGGCAAAGAGAAATGCTGAGATCTGTTCTGAAGAGCCATAAATGTTTCTGTAGTACAGAAAATGCTGGACAGAAACTCCAGGTGAGGAACTGCATCAAAAAAGACCAATTGGGCAATCTCAAGCCCAAAAGTGGACATAAAAAGTAGAATATTGGAGATGGGTTTAGGGAGGTAGTGTGCATGCAGGTCAGGCAAGGAGAGAGCTGACAGACAACTGGTGTGTGTTGAGGTGGAAAAGCAGACCTGACCAAAGGACATTTCTTCTAAAAAAGGGAATAAGTCTAAATGTAATGCTCCAGGACCCCCAAATGTTGGAAGGAAAGAAGGACAGGAGGCAGGCGTTGAGGGACAAACAGCCGGATACGAGATACGAGAACCAAAAAGGGTCTGTTCCCCAAGAGACAGACACACAGCGGTGCAGGGGGTGGGGTAAAGCGAGCACTCGGACTGCGAGAGCAGGACCACTGCAATGAGCATCTCCTCAACACGGAGCTTTGGCTACTAATGAGGTGCAATTTGGAGACAGAGGATTAATCAAGTTCTTAAAGCACTTGTGACTGTGCAGGAAAACAGTTTACTGAGGAAATTGTAAAGTCAATGGAGGCAAGAAGGCAATAGCTGAAAGTCTCAGAGATCAGAAATGCTGTGATTTCATCGGCAGAAGGTAACCAGATTGGACTATGACATTCAAAAGACAAAAATACAGAGCCACAAAGGAAAGGATATAGAGTATAATGGAAGAAACTGGAAAAGAAAACAAATGAATAACAGAGTTTGGTCTTCCTGGAAGATGTGTCACTGACCTCGGCACAAAGGCAAACCAGCTAAAATGTGACATGTTCACTAAATTCACTCCATGACCTCATGTTCAACGCGAAACAATAACTGGAATTTACAGACAGGGAAAGCCAAATTAAATAAAGCAGCTTAAAAATTACAGTGATGGTTATCCCCCCCATTTAAACAGACTATCAGAGGAAATAGCAAAATCCCCATCAGTTGACATTTTACTGTAAAAACCAGAAATCTTTCTGAAAGATTTACTTAAGTCAAAACACAGTATCAGGTTTAATGAAGCAGCAAATCACATCTAACAGCTTTACTAAGTGGTCAGATGAAGTGATCTAATGTTACTCTCCGCCCTGAAAATGGATGACTGCTTTTTCTTTTGTTTCTTTTTTTATTACTTTTGGTGTTAGGTTTTTTTTCAATTTACAAAAGGTAGAAAGGTTGGAGTGAACTGAATAAAGGAAATAGTGGTGGTGCTGCCTTCGCCTTCAAGCAGAACAACCGACGTTATTGAAGCATCCATCGAGATTAAACGAGAGGAGAAGAAAACCCTTCAGTCTGAGGCAAGGAGTGAGCAGGTAACAGGCAGAATACAGCAGTCACAGCCATTTGGAAAGCCAGCCTTAATCATTTTGAGGTGGAAGGTTGGACAAGGAAATAACAGGGCATTTTCTCAAAAACACACACTAAAGGAAAAAGCCTTGAGGCTTGTTATAAAGGAAGCTGAAGTGTTTCACCCTGAATGGAAAAGGGCTCTAGTTGTTGGTTTGGTAACAACCTTGTTTGACCTTCAAACAGCGCTCTCACATTTTGGATTGCAAAAACAAAGTTGTAAAAACAAAACAAAACAAAAAATAACTGGCACACACACACACACACACACACACACACCCCCCAAACCAAACCACCCAGCCCCAGCTGCAGGGACTTCGGGACTGACTCCCAGTCACCCCAACTGCAAACCTGCCCCAGAACCCCCCTGCTGACAAAGATCCTTCCCTAACCCCCATTGATGCTTGTCTGTTCCTACACCAGCATTTCTTTAGCATTTCTGCCTCCTCCTCAGCATTTACTATTTATAGTCATTTCCCCAACTCAGCCTTCACTTTAAGTTGAAAAAGCCAAAGTTACTCTGATTTCCTCTCGAGTTCACCCTTTGGAAAACGCATGACCAGAACTACACACCAACCTCCCCAGGTCCCATGTAGCATCTCCCATCCATGCTCATCCCTGTGCCAGATGTATTCACCATCACGCTGCTCTTTTCCACAGCTGCCCCACAGTGGCAAAGTATCAGCCCTAGCATGGGAAATTGCTTATGGCTCCTTTTTCTGTCAAGTTCTCCTTCTGACTTGCAACTACTCAACTTTGCACTTGCACAGCTGGTATCCTTCCACTTCTTTGATACCATCACCTCCTGGTGATGCCTACAACCTGGGAGCCAGCAGCCGTTTCAGTATGGTTGGCCTCCTCCTTGGCCAAGATCCTCAATTCAACCACCACCACCAAAAAAACCCCTGCCTCCTTGATTACCTCTTCTTTCACCTCTCAACACTGCTTCAGGACATCTCCTGTGGCCACCTTCTGCCACTGCCATCCCCACTAACTGCATCTTCTGCCTAAACTTCATTCAGCACATCCTTTACCAGAAGGAGGAAATCTAATCACATTTCCAGTACCAAATAAAAGCAGTCATAAAAAATACAAGGTTAGTTTGACATAACAGCTTTTCTTTATTATGGTACATTTTCCAGTCAGGCATTTACTCCAAGCTTTCTTTTTTAAAACTTTCTAAATCCAGCTTTTCAGACCATAACCCAGAAGTCAGTACCCACCGGTCTTGTCATTGCCAGGGTGGTTCTTCCTTTCTGCTCCAGCACGAGCAGGAAACTGGATTACTCTCCAGCAGTCAGACTGACAGATGCATTTGAAGCACTAGCAAGAAGATATTGACTGTGTTAGCACAGTGCAACACCCTATTGCACCCATCAGGGCAGCGTTTCAGGCTCAAATCCCAAAAAAGGCTGTGCCTGAGCAGGCATGGATGAGAGCTCAAAAATACACAGTGGGAGGACAGCAAACTTCAGAACTGAGCCCGAGAAGTGCACGCAATAAATTCTGGTGCTTCATTTCTAGTTAATCAATTTATCAGTTCACTGGAAACAAAGGTTACTTACGCAAGCCACGTCCAAACTGATGCAAGAGAAGGGAAAAACCCCAAACCTGCTTGGTTTTCCTCAGGAAATCTGGTTGCAAATGAGACTGTCAGCAATTCTTTGCAGCCAGCTGTTAAATGTTTGTTTTGCATATGTTAAAGCAGCATCTTCAGCCTGACAAAGCAGCATCTTAAAACATGAATTATCAATGAAATACAAAATCTTACTTGAACTGCATTTGGTTTTTTGCCAGTTTTTGGCCACAAAGCTGCCAGAAGCATCTTTGCTGGAATAACTTGAAGCTTCAGGGCTGTTTTCTGTTTTGTTTCATAGAAGGAACAGGAATGGTTTCACCATCAAATAAATTGTAATGGATGACATTTTTGGCTCGAAAGGTTCAAGGCAAAACCTGTCCACTCTTCCATGGAGATAAAATACCACTTTATAAAGTGCTCCTTGGGTACAAACCTGCAAGTTTCGCTCTTTCTTGGTCTGCAGCCTCCTAACATTTTCCTAACAGAGGCGGAGGCCGCTCTGTAGACTCGCAGGAAAGGGATACAGTGACTTTTCATAGATAAAAACAGCTCACTAACCGTAGGTTCACTTTTACTAGTTCAGATTAATAGCAAACAAATACACAAAAGACTACGGAGGAGGCTTTGCCCATCCTGGATTTCCCTCTTGCAGCAGCCACACTTTTGTCTTGCCTTTTTAAACCGGGTAGGGATGAAGGACACCACCTCCAGCAGCCCAGGAAAGGCCACACCAGCGTCCAGCTGAAATCCAACCTAAAACCACGTCTGCCTGTGCTCAAAGAAACAAACTGCTCCAATACAGCAAACGCAATTACATCCTGACGTGCACTTCCATCATCACAAAAGCAAATAAAACAATGGACACTTCTCACGTTGGACTTCGGCAAAAGACGTTTATTATTATTATTATTATTATTACTGTTGTGTTGCTGTTGTACCTCCTCTGCTCTGCCCACAGTGGTGGCATAAATGCTGTTACCATATCGTAGCTGATGATGCCGGTGTACAAATCAAAATCCATCTTAATTTCAAACTCCATTAGGAACACAGGAAAAAAGATCAACATTTACGAAATGTAAAGGGAAAAATGGTATGGAAAGAATTCTTTTTTTTTTTATTATTTTTTCAAGCTTCCAAGACAGTATTACAAACAACAGAGAGCAAAGTAAAGCTAGAAATGAAATACTTGACAGCATCTGTTTAAAAATTACAGCTAAGAAACCTAATAAAAGTTGAATAAACAGTTACTAGAAATAAAAATTTTTACACATATGATATTTGTCTGGGGTTTTTATTTTTTTAAAATAATTCATACAAATGGTTACAGTCACAAACATGATTTTAACCAAAAATATTGCTAGCCTACCACATTACCAGGAAGGAATCAATGTAGGCAATGAAATGCTGCTACTTTTCAGTAGTCTAGTGCCTTTTCCGCATACCACCAATAATATATACTTTAACTGGTGACAAAAAGCACAATGCTCGTTTATACAAAACCTTTTTTTTTTTTAATTTTTTCCTCAAAATCTCTTTGCAAGGTTGTCTTCATTTTGAAATAAGGGAATTCATGCCAAAATTAGGAGAAACTGTTTCTCTTTTGTGTACTAAATTATTCTAAAAAATAAGACAAGCAGGTAGAAAAAACAATGCACCGTGTGGCGTAGAAAGAAAAATGGGAATTCATTGTCCTGAGAAGTTTGCCAACTGCCTCATTCTTGGGCATGTTTCAAAATATAAAAGAAAAGATTTTTAATCTCAAAATCGGTTTGCTGAATGCCTCCCTTATGTTTTTCCTTGTTGACAGCTAAGCAAACAAACCCTTTTTAATGTTCTAAAAACTGTACACAGACAAGTACATTCATGATATAATTAACTACTAACTTCTCTTGCTTAACAAAGAACCCATAGGACACAGAAACAGTGAATCAGTCCACTGGACAGGGACAAACTACAATTTATACGGAGGAAAAAAATGTTTCCAAATCTTCTTTTTGTCTCCCACCTTTTCCTTTTATACTGTATATTGGACCAGTTTCTAAAACGATAATTGTCTCCTCCTGTAAGTTCATGGTTTTGCCTTTAATCAAAATCCAGGGTTTTGTTTTGTTTTGTTTGTGTGTTTGTTTTCCGCACGCTGAAGTTGAAATCTCCGATGTTGGGAATGCTGTTTTCATAGGCTACAATTGGTCGCTTGGGTGGTCTCTATCAGCTTCTGGTTTGACAGTTTGGCCAGGGGAAGGAGCGTGGGGTGGGTGGGCTACAGCAGGGAGGCCGTGTGATAAAGACATGGGGTTGGGGACTATTCCTTCTACGGCTGCAGGTATGCCAGTCGAGGCCACGCTTACAACGCCTGGGGGATACCTGCTGGGAGAAGAAAATAAGAACACCCATTAAAACCAAGAGAGGACTGACCCCCGAGCCCACCTTGCCTCCTTCTAGAGCGACAGAGACGCTGCTTTTGTTTTCAGACCAGCGAGAAAGGCTGTTGGTTAAGCTCCAGATGAGACACCATATGCACATGCTGCTAAATTAAGCGAAAGATGCTGTACTTTACCTAAATGAGAAATAAAGGTTTGCTAGATTGTTTCTCCACATTTCAGATGTAATAGCACGAGTGATGGCAGAGCAACAGAAACAACCTGGCAGCACTGCTCCTCTCAAAGCCTGCCTCAACAAGGAGTAGTTCAGCATGGGTCTGTCCAATACCTATTTGCCATCGATGACTTTTCCTCAAGTTGACCTTGGAGGATTTGTTTTCTCTCTCATTCTCACATAGAAATTTTAAAATTTGACTGTTGTGGTTTGAAAAACCTTTAAACTCATCTTTTTAAAATCTTTCAACTCATCTTGTAGTTGTATAATCATAGTTGTAAATTCATCTTGCTATCTTTCTGATAGCTCCCCAAAAGAGCAATCATGCCCACACACCCTTAAGATGACAAATTCAAGGTTATCATACCCAAGTAATTTTTTTCAGCATCAAACTTGCCACTGGACTTGTTCAAAGAGAAGCAGGGCAAGTTACACAGGACACGTGCTTTAGGCAGACTGCGAGGAGAGATGCAAACACAAAACACTATGGGTGGTTCTATGGATTTGTTACTCCTTCTGGATAAATACCAAAGCCTAAATGTTTCACAAATTCAACAAAAAGTCACCCTCAGATTCAGCTTGATTTTGTGATGAGTCTGATATTATTTTGATTTTGATATTATCAGATGACTCTGGTAAAGCTTTGCAGATCTACTCCTTCAGTCTTCACGTTCAGACGTAGCTGATGAACACTGGTATTTCACAGTGCCGAATATTAACAACGGGTACATGTGAACACCTTTAATGAAAATACAGGGGGTTTTAGGCAAGTACCTCAATATCAATTTACAAGTTATCTCCCACTGGCCACGTACACTGCCCCTTTGCTTCCCCCCACCATAACACTGCACACTCATCCCTCATTCCCTCCTGCTGTATTCTGCTCACCCAGGCATCCTAGCAAGAGCGTTACCCATTTTAAAGCCCAAACACACAAACCTACCACTTCCTCACTGTGGCATTTGCTACCCTAGCATTAACTTAAGAGTAAGTGGGAGAAAAGGCACTTGTAGTCTAGTCAAGCTTTTTCCAAATATCACATTATTCTGATGTTGACTTTCTTCTCACCAGAGTTCAACACTAAATGCATCAGGGAAGTTCCCTCAGACTGACAGAAAGTTAGTGCAGAACTTATGCAAAACTCCAAGGAGAAAAAAACCAGCTGGATGAAAGCACATTTATTTATTCTTTTTTCCTTCTACCACAGAAACATCACGGGAACTGCTTTTTGCAAACACGATGCCTAGCCGCACTATGGACATGGCACAGGGACGATGAAGACACCACTCACTGGCCTGGTCACACTGGGAAAGATCCCACCACCTGCAGGCCAGAGCACCTTGTTCCCCGTTGTACACATATTTACCAGGCTTCCTATGCTAATTCCTTCTCCAGAGACATTCCTTTGAATTAATTTCGAGTTGCTAACAGAATAAGTTGCTTGTTTCAGTACCTCAATTTGAATCTTATTAATCAAATTTACTTCAATTCTCATGAAAACTGTCAGACTGGGTACTGTTTTATTTATTCAAATTTAATTTTGAAACAGCTTCTCTGTTGCTCTAGGTGCTTTGTAAGAAACACAACATGAAATGACAATAACTTCCATTAAAAGCCCAACACAGCAACCATTTCCCACATAGAATCTCTACTTTCTAACAACGTAATCCCCAATCATCAACACACCGGAGCTGGGAGGAATCAAGGAGAGAGCTAATTCTACAACTGTTTCCCTCAGGATGAAAAGCCAGAGCCTTACGAGCACAGTAAGCTGTTCAAACTGCACATCTGTAATTCTCCTTTACTCCAAATATTCTTTCTGTATATAAAAATATTCCCCTTGGCACCAAGTTAGAATAATTGGGATTCTACGTGCCAGCACCTCTCCTCAGACACAGGCTTCCTATAGACTTCTAGTAGCATCCAGAAGCTCTACTATTGTTTTCCTTGCCCTAAAGCACTGCGTACAGTGGTAGTAGCCAAAACACAGACAACATACCCCTCCACAGAAACTGTATTTTGCTTGACAACTCCTAACCCTATTTTGCCATGCTTTTTTCACAATTTTTGTCTCTTTTTAATCTAATCATCAGTGTTATTCCAATAGCTACCTCTGAAAGGAGAACATATAAATGCAACAGCCCCTACACGTGGGCATTTCTATCCTACATAACCTTCCCTTATGGTGCTGTTTATTGCTTGTCTATTCTTAACCAGCAAACACACTCCCTCTGGCACTTCATAAAGTTGCTCCCAATCTTCCTGCTCTGGTAACAGTAAGTTGAAATGTTTTCCAGGTAAAATGTCCACTGAATTGAATTTTAATGAAAGCAGAAGTGAGAGATCAGTCACATCTACTCTGCTACTTTATTCTCGTCCTTTCCCTTCCACCACATAGTCTTAATTAATGAGGAAAATTAATGACAATTGAAAAGTAACTTTAAATCCAATGTTAATCTCCTGTATTTTTTAAACTGGAGAAGCACCTTGATCTGGCAATGTTAAGCTCTGTTCAAGAAACTGAGTCTGTCCCAGCAGAGTTTAAAAATGTAAGTGCATGCTGTTATCTGACATTTGAGGCTGAAAATCACCAGTGGAATACCTCAACATGAAATAACTCCTGAATTACCAACATCTAACTATTCGCATCCAAGTACCTCTTGAGGACCCAGACATTCTCATCTCCTGCCTGTTAGAAGGCAGAAAGAGATGTCAACACGTCTATAAATTGCACAATCACTGTTTGCTGGCTGTCAAATTTCACTTTGCCTCTAACCCGCACGCTCTGTGCCAGAGGAAGTGGCAGGGGGTTATTTAACAGGCAGTTCAGTAACAAATATGCAGTGATAACACAAAAGCAGGGAATATTATGCTGCTTCACTGAGACTATTACAAATAGTTCCTTCTCAGGAATATTGTCAATCGTTACTCATGGGACAGGTCCCGTTTGCTTGACCTTTTGTGTTGATAGGGCATCTTGCATTTCACACAGTGAATGGGTTTGTTTTCCACATAATATGATGATATTCAGAAGATCCAGCTCATACTCTGCTGACTGCTCAATGTTCTCTGCTTGTGAGAGTATTTGATAATTTAAGAGTTCTATCCTACAACAAAATACAAGTAAATGATATATCCAGAATAAAACAGCCTCGTTAGTTTTAGTTCACTGAAGAGCTATTTGCATTTTTTAACATATAAATTATCATCCCAGGTCTTATCTGCCAATGCAATTACATGACTACGATACAGTTATTAGCACATCTGACACATCGTGCTCCAGAACTCAGTTAAACATAATCTTGAACTGCAAAGAGGAGACAGAAAAATTTGTTTTGAGCAATCAATTCAAATTCTGTACTTAATTCAGGTAGGAATCAGGCACCAGCAAACACCGAAACCAATTTCTTCATAAAGCCTGAACTTCAAGTTCCATGTGTTTTACACTGCACAAAATAAGAACTGTCTTCACCCACACTGAAACACTATTCCTCCAGCCCTCCAAAGAGAAGCTTTAATATTTGTTGTATGACTAACTTCTCCCTCAAAACCCAAAATAAATTTCATTTTGCATTTGAAAATATTTTCCATGTCAAAATGTATTTATGATGAATTTTCCTTTGTTGAAAAAACTGCCTGAAACAATGTCTAAAGGAGGCCTTCGGTTCTGTGCTTACCCTGCTTAAATTAATTACATATGGCCTTTACCTTGTAAATCATTAACTTCCAAAACATGCCTAAGTTAAAATGCATTTCTAGCTGTGAAGCCTGCTCCTGCTGGACCTGTGACCCCCAAAATGAGAACAAACAACTGCATTTTATTTGGGCACACAGCCCTGTTCCTAACTGTCGTGACAGGGTTGGAGTTATTACCCCGGATCAGCAACACCTGCCTGTAAACCTCAATTGCATCCAGCTACGCCCTGAGTACTCCCCACTGAAGTCAACAAAACCACATGCTGTGTGGAAGGGAACACATGTGCTCGAACTTTTCATTTAAGCAAATAAAACCACCCTTTTTAAGGTATTTAAGGCTATGGGTGACTCTCCCCCCTGCCATCTCTCCATCACTTTCTGATGACACTGATAGAGTCACTGGGACACGAGAGCTTTGCTTCACTTCTCAGCAGTGCACAGCTGGGTTCTCATTTGGGGTAACACACAAAAGAAAATCTCTATCTGTTAAAGGTATGAGGTAGTCCTCCCAAAGAAAGACAGAGATAATAAAGATGTATGATGAAGGACAGTGGAAAGATTAGGACAAAGAGGTATAAAAAAATAATGAAAGGACTGCACTGTCCCTCCCCTCGAGGCACCGAGGGAAGCAGCTGTCTGCAGCTTTCTCAGCCACTTTCATCCTACTTATGGGTAAATGCCATGGAGGAAGATAAAAAATTGCAGACTTTTTTCATAAATAAAAATTGCATGAAGCTGGCTACTAGTAAAAATGTGCTGCTACAACAGCTGCTAGGGATAAAAGGACAGAGAAGGACTCTCAAGCAAACAAAGTAACTACGGAGCACACATATTAGACATAAAAAAATGCCCCTTTCTATTAATTATTAAGAGCTGCTTTCACAGTTGATTGAGAATACATAGATCAAGTCCCCCAAATGCTTTTGCTTAAAAATTATACGCATAATTTAGAACACTATTTTAAACATATTTTCATAATCACCACAGGATATTCCACTGTATTCATGACAGAGTTATTTGTTCTCTCATGTCTGGAGGCCACAAAACCACGTAACAATAGTTTATTATAGAAAGTCTTTCTATAACCTACTGCTGTACCATTACCTTCAGCAACAAACTTCCACTGCACTCACTGGAGATGGCCAGAATTGCTTTACCAGAATATACAAAAACCCGTGCATTGCTCAGGTATTACTAACCACACAAAAAAGATAAGAAAATGAAATGTACTTATGTACTGCATGACTGACTTCAAGCAGCAAAACAAGATCATTCTCCTGAATGCAACAATTATGAAAATAATGCAGCTGGAGCCGAATCCAACACCACTTCATTTATTAATAGGAAGGTCTTTTATTTATTCTGAATTAAGGAGGTATTTCTTTTACACCTGGAGCACGCTTACCTGTATGCAGCACCATTAAGCTCTGGATGAACAACTCCGGGATCCATGCTGGCCCAATGTGTAGCTGCAGTCAAATGATCTTTGTTCACACAGTTTTTCAGACTGTCTGGAATACGACCTAAGATGAAGCGAGGGAGAGAAAATAATAAGAATAAAAAAATTATGTCCCTAATGCTCTCAATGTATCTATGTTAAAAATACTTATCAATATTTGCTAACTTCTGCAGGCGTGTTTTACTAGTCTCTCCTTACAAAAGAGGATTTATTTATGTCAAACTTCTTTCATAATGATATTTTCCTTTGCCACACTTGCCTTCCCATTTCTTCCATTACTGTTTTCAGCAGTCCTCATTATTTAAAACTTTGAACGTTTTGATGTTCAACCATTTGTTCAACGATATTTAATCTTTGCTTATTATTTTTATTTTATACAGCAGAACTTCGCTGACTTTTTTTGGAACAGCAGAACAACTTAACGTCTCCATCGTCAGATGGTAGTCATAGCCTGCATTTCTTCCTTGTACACCTTTTTCCAATTAGTTTCCCTCTCTGCACCCTTTTCTCTTCTGTGTTCCCCTATGGCTTTCACATATCCAGCTTTATCCCATGCTTCCTGTATCTTTCCTACATTTCTTTCACTGCAATTCAATGTCATTCTCACCTCCCTAACGTCGGCCTTGGTTTGATCTTACTACAGACCATGTGCAAACACTGAAGTGCTGACAGCTTCAATACGAATCAATGATTTAGATCGCTGATAGCACAATCACACACTGCAAAGAACATACAGGTCTGCTTTCCCAGGCACATATGGTCGGGCTATTGCACAATATCTAACATAAAACTAGCTCTGTATAGCTGACTCTTACTCAGTTTTCAGATCTTAGCCTATTCATGCTTATTTGCACATCCACCATCACTCAAGCAGGTATCGTATGCTGGTTTCTGCAATTGCTCCCAGAGCTATCAGGGAACAAGTAATAGTTAAACAACAACTTCATGAATGTATTATTGCAGTTCTTCTGGAGTAGAAACACAAGGACCCATTCCAGCAGAGGGATGGCCAGACTCTTTAGGTTACCTCTAAAACAGAGAGAATGAGTCCCGTAAAGGGCAATTCAGATCAGGAGTTTAAGACGTGTCCTTAATCACCGTCCAGAGGAGAATCTTCTTTCTGCACAAGCTATAAATGAATTTAAATTGCTCAGCCTCTCTAGGCACAGGACACAGGAAAGGCCACTGCTGGTGCTTTCTGAATAGCAGAGCAATGTGTTGGCACTGAGCTACTCTCAAGGTGACACAGATGGCCCTTCATGTCTGCAGAGCATTCAGTCTATATTGCCAAGGGGGAAACAGCAAAGTCCTACTAAAGAGAGAACATTAGTGCTTAATGAATCATTTTCCAGTATGAAAATCCTTCCTTTTATTTTGGACTACAAGGGATTCAAACCAATGCCAAATGGCTCACTCTCCTCATTTTATTTATTAGCAGCGCATGTTCAAGACATAACTGTTTTCTCTTATGTGAACAGTTTATAATTACATGGTAGTTATATAACAAAGAGACTTTGCTCTTTAAAATGCCAGACTTCAGCAATGCTTTCAAGGCAGGAACATCTAAAATACAGTATTCTCTCCCAAGAAAATACCGAAAAATTTGTTTCGCCATGAGTTGAGATACGACCATAACAGAACAGCATGAAGCTACAGATACTTTATCTCCAAACACTACAGCCTTAAGGACGCTGAAATTCCAGACTCTTCTGTAAGACAAATTTGGGTGTACTGTGGAAATACTAAGGAGCCAAAGAGAAAAGAATAAAGGAAACAGAACTGCTCATGACAAGTTTAAGGAGGCACCTGGGAAAACCTATGAAAGACACCAGCAATATGACTTGCACTCAAACCCATCAAATGGGTAATATTTACAAGGAACAAAAGAAGCAGATTTTCACATATACACATATTTCACTTCTGTTCTATGGAACGAGTACTTTTATTTTGCAGTGCCTGCCTTCTCCGCAATTCCAATGAACCTCCAAAATGACCTGTTCTAGTTATGAGCATCTGGGTATTTGCTCGTTTCTATGTCCCAATATTAGAAGTGGTGATCAAAACCTAAGGCCGATTCTTTCCAGCATCTTTCAAGACTGAAGAATGAAAAAGTTTGTTAAAAAGAAAACCACAGTGAAGGAGCTAATACGGTGAGTTAGTACCTGTGATCGCCCTTCGGATCTCTCGTGCTGCTTCCTCCCGCATCTCAATTGAGGCTTGTTCACTGTACCAGGCCGCATGTGGGGTACAGATCAGGTTTGGTGCATCCTTCAAGGGGCCCTGACTAAAGCTAAATGAAGATTTAAAACAAGATCAAATGACAAAAAATATTGAGGAAGAGGGGGGGAAAAAAAGGGGAGAGGAAGGGAGGGGGGGAAACCATATGGATTTGTACATACACAGATCAATTTCTACAACAGAAATGAACTGCATTTCTACTCCTTGTTGGGTTTGTTTTCAATTCTGACAGTTAATTTAATACACTATTCAGGGTATAAATAAGCAACAATCACCTCTCATAGACTCAAAGGGTAGCACCTAAGTATAGGAGCAACATTAACTTCTGTCCAATGCACTTATTGCTAACTACAGCCACTGCCACTCCAGTTCCGGTGCAGAAACACATAAAGCAAGACCTAAATCAATTCAGGATGCCATTCCATTTGTCCATTTCATCACAGTTTTAGTGCATTAGCCAACAAAGCTCTGTTCTCCCAAGAGTCACTGTCAATGTGACATTCAGTCATTTAAAAAAAAATAAATCTTACAGTTATTTCCAGATAAGAACTGTGTCCGTCAGCAGCCTCAACTTTCTTTTTTATAATTCAGTAATTTTTTTCTGTTATTTTAAATTATTTTTTCTTTCTTGTTCCTTTATAGAAATGCCACAGAAAGAAGGAAATTTACTTTACAGATTGATTTTCAGGGAAAGCAATAAATTTGTGTAAAAGTTCTATCACAGATACAGAGTAAAGGAACTGAAAATAATGGAAACTTGCTCCTCATATACATTTCCAGTTTTAGTAATTTTACAGTCAATTGTAACAACAGGAGAACAAATATTTTAAGACAAAAGCATGCTGTCAGAGTCGGTGATAATTCATAAAATGACAGATCTCATCTGCAGCTCAATAAACATCAGAATATCTGGCAGAACTCTCGACTAAGGAGGTGCATGCTGCGATCAGACAGACATGCAGCACTGAAGCCAGAGGAAATTGTGGCTGTAATCCTGCAACTGAATCTCTGCAGATGGCATCTCCATGCAGTAAATGAGGCTTCCTATAGGTGCAACGGTCTGCTTGTGCAGATCCCAGATCTGAATTGGGAAGAATCTGTGTAGCTGGAAGTCCCTTGAGCTATTCAGCCTCTGGCTTTGCACAGCACTACTGCACTGTAATGACCACATTCAGAGGTAAATGAATGCAGGGTATGCATAAATAAAATTAAATATTTGTGATGTGGCATTTTGTCTCAGTAGATATAAAATTGTAGCTAAAAGGATACTATTCTATGTTATTAAAGCTTCTGTTCTGCCCCGCAAGCTGGTATGAGAGAGACTGTCCTCTCTGCAGTCTTTTCAACCTGCCCTCAAATCCTGAATCTGTTCCTCTTCAAAAACCTATGTGGATTGTTCCAGTTAAAATGAACATTTCTCCCTGCCCAGACTGAACAACTGAATAAGGCTTGTCACGTACAAGCACTACGCTGTCTATTCTCATAACTGTAACTCAGAAGTCAGGCTCAAGACACAAGGAGGTATCACGTGGGCTTGTTTCTGACTAGGAGTGCTGATAACACCAATACCACTTTGGGGAGTGGAACATCTCTGCCTGAAATGCTGAACTTCTCAGGTCATTCAGAAACTAAGGCTTGTGCTAGCAGCTCTGCTGACGACAGCAGAGTTACTGCTCCCCTGATAAAGGTTAAAACAAACCCAAATCTGCACTCTGACCACCTTCTTTATCTTAACTTTTTTCTGCAACCTGTTTTACTTATGGCTTTCCTGCAGAGCAATCTGGGCAAAAAAACATATATTCTCCTCCAGAATGGTGTAATAAAGTAGTTATTTCTCACACCAAATCTCAACTCTTCTGAAAGATCCTGTTCAGAGATCAGTATTAGTTGCCTCTAAAGGAGCATTTCCCTCGAAACCAGGACACAAAGCCATGCCCAGGATTTGAACCCAAATCCCAGTTCTTTCTACTAAAAAAACCCCACTGGATTATTTTTTTTTAAGGACTTAAATCTTGGGTGTCACTTTTTTCACTTCTGACACAAGCTCCATCTACATCTGCATTAGTCCAGTGCTGCACAGATTCACGTTGCTTTACTAAGGAGTATTTAGCTATCAAATGAAGGGAAAACTCAATTTACTTGTTGCTGTTGATTGTATCATGCACTAAGACTTAAAAACAAGAAAGTGAACAAAAGAAAAAGAAAAGAAAAGGAAAAGCACCTGAATGGTTCTGACTCATGTACATCTAAGGCTGCCCCTCGTATCCTTCCTTCCTTCAGGGCCTGTGCAAGTGCTTTTTCGTCTACTAACCCACCTCGAGCTGTGTTGACCAGGAAAGCCCCTTGTCTCATCTAGGGAAAGTTAAAAACAAGAATGATGAAATAAAAATAAATGAAATAAAATCGTCGTGGCATTATTTTTCACTCAAAAGAAGCATCCATTACAACAAAGGCTACGCAGCTGGTTTAACCTGTAACAGTTGTCTTCCCTTTCCATCGGAAAGTACCGCAAAATGTGATGCTTCTAACAGAAAATGCTATTTCACAGCACTTAATAACCTTTTGTTTCTTGTAAGCAGTGCCTTTCAATAGAAGCGTTGTTTCAGACATTGTGCAGTAACATGATCAAAAGATACAACTGTGCATACGAAAGTGACAGATCATTTTATGCCTTTTTATTTCACTGTGAAATTGCATGAGACAGAAACTACAGCACACTCTTAAACAAATTCATATTCTGTGGTTTTCAACTTCACACAAATAAAAGCCTACATGAATTTCCACAAAAAAACAATGCTTTTGGACTTTCAAACACTTTTCCCTTTACTTGCCAAAACACAGGAGATCTATGTTTTATTTATTTTTGTTACTTCAGCTTCCTCCTCCCCGTGAGACTTTTCAAATAAAGGTCTACAGAATTTGTATATTATTCAATTAAAAGGCATGAAAATGAATTTGGCTGAGAACGCCGTGTGCCCAGGAGAGAAGCTGTGCTGTGCATTGTGCAGATTAGCATTGTAGATGACACTGTGTGGGGAGAACTACAAGAATTTACACCATAATACATCCACAACATGAAAACAAAGTGGCGGTTTGAGTAAGAGAGATGGTACAGAAAAAAAATCAATTACTACATCCTGCTTCCAGCCACCTCAATACTTCATCTTTTACCAGATGTCTCAAATTCTGTCTTTTACCAGACATTTCACAGCATTTCTGTGCATGAAGGTAAGCGTATGAAGAGCAGGAACCACAGTGAAGATGCATGATAAAAATCTCATTTTTGTACTGGGTCCATCTCTCGCCGTAAGAACAAGAAAACCCCAGCATCTGACACGAAGGCAACCACTTGAAACCTACCCATCAAACTAAACCTTATGTAAATGGATCTTGTACTCTGAAAAACTGATTTGAAATACCAAATTCATGAACTACAAGGAGGTTTGGATGAAAGTCAGCTACGAGAATTTTTTTACATGAGATCATAGAAAATATTAAACAATTAACATGGATATGCTTGCAGTAAGGTTGTAAGAAAAAAAAAACCCAACATATTTTACTGGCAAACTCACTGGGTTTACTGTGGCCCTGCCTCTCTCCTCTCGGGCTTACAGGAGACCCATCTATTGGTCTGTCCAGCAAAACCAAAGTCCACTTACAGGAGCAGAACTAAGGGATACTTCTTTTAGTTGTATGTAATTAACTTGGGAATTAGAACAGTGAAGAAATGGTGGCATGATCTTAAGTTGGTCCCTGATGGGAACCATCACTGCATCACCACTACTTGTCAGGTGTGAGCACCAGATCCAAACCAGCACAGGGAGGCTCACCCAAGCAGAATCACACTTTGTGTGGAAGTGCCATAAAGGCTCATGGGAGCTTATAGACCCTTCCTATTTCTGTGCTCTTCCAAATAGGGAATTTGAGTTTTAAGCACATTTTAAAAATATATTTGTATATATAAAAGTATTTCTATGCCCACTGAAGGACTTGAAAATTTCAATCAAAATGAACCCTGCTAAAATCTTCTGTCAAACCTTAACAGACTTGAGTTTTTACTTTAGGATTATTTACAGAACTGTAAAGCACTAAGACAAGTCCAAATCAAACAGAACATGGCTGCATAAATGCATTACAGTGGGAATGAACTGCGCGACTCGTGACAGATAACCCTGAACAGTGAATGGGTGGAAGTTTGAAAGAGCTGGAACTGCTGAGGGCTGTTAAATTCACCTACACCAAACCTGCACAGCTGCTTTGAAAATGGACTGTGTTTAAAATGCAGCATCTTCTTCTCTAATCTGTAAAACTAAAGATGACCTCACTACCGTGGGTTCAGTAAACACAAGCTTGAAGCACTTCTCTGAGGCACTCTGGTACTACAAGGCCAAGCCCGATGGCTGGGCAGAATGCTGACCAGCTAAAGGGAAAAGCTGCTGAAAGAGAAGACTGACACCAGATTTTCAGAGACATTTCAGGGTTATGCAGTTTCAGATTCTAAACAAAATTCGGGATGAGACTTTAGTGAAATGAGATGCACCATACTTCTCTGTACTTTAAAAACTGGTTGTTATATGAGCATGCGATATTGGACAAAAGTGGCATGCAATGCTCTCTAAAAACTTTAGGCTAAATCTAACGTTTATCAGCATAAAGAAGCTATTCTGCTCTTTTTGATATGTATTCAGAAGATCTGCTCTGTGCAAACTAAGCAGTAAGAGGTGTTACAGCTTTATAGCTTGCACATCAGCTGTTACAATACAGATTGCTTCATCCAAACTTTTATCCAAATCAAGAACTACCGTCTAACATTTTAATCCTTGCTTTAATCATGAAGGATAACAAATAGCAAGATAAGAGCTTCTGATATCCTTTCTAGTACAGACTTTATTTTATGTATTTCATTTCAGATGGTATCACTGAGTTTTAACCTGTTTTGGTTTGTTTGTATCTCCAATTAATGCACTAAGTCCTCTCCAAAGCTCATCACATTTATCCACCACCACTCAAAATCCTCCTGTGATACACTGGCCCAAGTTTCAGAGTGACCACTCAGCCTTCAGATGGTCCCACTGAATTCGGTGTGATTCTGTTTGGGTCTAGACATCTGCTTGCAAAGCAATATAAGAACCATTAAATGCACTTGAGCACACATTAAAAGGGAACGTTCAGGGCAGGGTGACAGAGCTCTGTTCTCTTAAAGAGATTTGCATTTTACACCTCTTAATTTTTTTTAGTTTTAAATCCCAAATGCTGATTTTATGTTGGGACAGATCTGCAAAATCCCTAAAGTCTTGAAACAAGAAGTGTGCTCTGTCATCAGGTTTCTGCCATGATCCTCCATGACTGTGGAAGACATTCAATAACTACTGCATTTCTTCTAAAGTCCAAGAGTAGCAGGTACAAACTACTTCTCTGAAGCCAAGCAATGATTTTACTGCAAGAGTGCTACTGTTATTGTTACCAACACAAACACTACATACAAAAGAACAATAAAACCAACTATTATATCTCAGAGTTTCTTTCCTGCACACTATCTACATTCTTACATCTTAACACTGTATTTCTTGCTGTTACCTACACTGAGGCTGCAGTCAGAAGCTAGACATTTAATGAAAAAGCTTAGTATTAAATTAGTCAGTAACAGAGCAGTTATGACACCTAGACTTTGAAATTACTTTAATATTACCTAAAACTTTAGGGAGAGGTTAATACCAATTCCAAGAACCATTATTTTTCCAAATAATGCAATGCTGTAAATGCGATCCCTCCATGAAGCGCTCTGCAAGCATCAGACTGAGCACAGGGGGGAGCCCTTTAGTCATAATCCTTAAATCGCATCTAAAGAACTCAAACTGAGGAACAAGAGTGAAAGGCAGAACTGCTACCTGAAAACACAGAGGTAAAGGAAGTAGCTACTAGAAGACATAGAAAAAGTGCTTTTACATAAATGCAACTTTATTAAATCTAAGCCACATTGTGAAGAGCAAATTATTTCCACCAATGCAATGCTACTGAGCGAAAAAGACAATAAAAGCAAGAATACACAAGCCACCAGCTATTTCCCAATCCGTTTTAAACCTGCTTGATCTCAGAGCAGCAAAAAGGAAAGAAATTTCTTTCAAATGAGGATCTGCCTGTTTACATGAACAAATGCTATACAGTGTCAGCCACCAGCACCACGTGGAGGGTGCCCACAGAGATTATTTATTACCTGCTTGATGGTGAAGTCATTAATAAGATGATGATTGTGTTCATTCAAGTTGCAGTGCAGGGTAACACAGTCACTGTGGAACAGCAGGTCCTGCAAAGTGCTCACCCGCTGCAGTCCCAGAGCGCGCTCCATGCCATCCGAGAGGTACGGGTCATAGAAAATCACACTGAAGCCAAAGGCTTTGGCACGTAGCGCTACTGCTTGCCCAACACGCCCTGGAACGAGATAAAGATGCGATGAGAACAGATGTGAAGCAGCTGGTGTAAGGTAGCCTCCTCCTCCCTATTGCAAACACTTGTATCAAACCGTACCGTTTTGTACAGCAACTGGAAGAGGATAAAAAAAAGCGGCTCTCATCCCTCTTGAAACCATCACTGAGATCAGAAACGGTACAGCTGGGCTGTTTCACACTGCTCTGCTCAAAACAAAGCAGGAGGTTTGCACCTTTTGCAACCGGAGACCCGAAATGCCAAGAGATGTCACGTAATCTGCAATAATCTGTGTAATACACGGGCTTGCCTGCCTGGCCTGTTTATAGTAAAACACTACTGTTTGTGAACACGTCCTGCCAAGGACTTACTCTTACCCATGTCAGACCAGCTGGCTTTAATAAAAAGCTATAAAATTAATCCTCAAAAATGGATGCAATAAAAGACGGTTTGTTTAATCTGAAGCTTAACCATTCTCAATGCATGAATCTCCTTTCTGAATCAGTATCTTTCATTTTGAATAGCATCCTCTCAGCATTAAAATGCCTAAAACAATCCCATCATCTAAGGCTCGAAACATTTTCTATCCATCTACCTAAATGATGAATAAATCCAGCCCATCATATGGCACCTAGTTAAGAAAAGTGTGGTACCATTTGGTGTTCACATTGACCTCAGTTTTTTTCTGTTCCGCTTTCCTTACTGTCATATTTCAGAGTCGTGACCGAAATCGCTGCTTGGGCAGGACTCCATGCCATACACAGCAGGATGTGTGCATTCCCCTCTGAAACTCTATCAGTAAAACAGAGGAAATGAGCATGTCTAATGAGTAAGGGTATTCTGAAGAACAAGACCTCACATGCTTTTCAGGTTAGAAGACCACACAATAGATACTTACGTTTAAGTATTGCAAATGCTAGATAAAGACATTTCAAGAGCATCACTGGACAAGCCATAATAATCATGTCTCATTTTAAAAAAAGTCAAGTTTTCTTTTGTAACAGCTGAGTTTGCTCAAAAAAGTGTCAAATTAACACAGGGAAATCCCATCTCTTTCCAACTGTGCTTGACGGGATTTCCCTCAGCTTTTCAGTTCCTCTTTGAATAAACTTCAGAAGGCACAGGAAGAAAAGTTTTTTGTTGATCATTTAACCTGAACACAGCAATTCTGCAGTGCTTAGTGACAGATGTGCCAGGAATATTAAACAGAATGGCAATCTGATGGGGGCTAAGTGTTTTTCTTTGGGGACACCAAGTTAAAATACTCCTCAAAATCTTCTATTTCAATACTTGTGGACATTTCATTTGTTTGCTTTTCAACCTGTTCTTTATAAAAAACTTTAGGTAGACAATTTCCAGCACAAACACTGTATTATTTTCAATTTTTGGCATGTTCACAGCTCAAGGAACCAGTCACACAGCTGTAAACAATTTTTACTTTTTTTAAAAACGAAGTGTATCGCTTTCACTCCAGCTCCATTCATTTTCACATGCAGCCTTCTGTCATCCGTTCTTTTTTACACTCTTTACAACACTAATACCTGAGGGGATTCACGACAGAGAAATCTCTTACAACAGACTCACCAGTTCAAGCTGCACTTTCCATTCATTGCAACCAGGCTCATAAAACAAAGCCTTCTTCAATGTGTACAAAGTTTCCCTCTGAAACACTTGGGAATGGCGTGCTTGTACTTGTAGCCAGAACTGTATTTCATGGGATAAAACTCTTCTGCAATCGACCATTCATATTTAGGCTTAGTTGTTAGACAGATACAGAAGTGGACACATATAATTTGCCAATTCTGTTTTAAAATACAGTCTGACAATATTGAGTAACCACAGACCTGTGAGTTTTCTCCTTTTCTGAAAAACTTCTATTATATAGAGTTCCCCTGGGAGTGAGGAGGGGCTCAAAACCTACCTGAGCATACCCAGAACAAGAGAGCAGCACACAAAGCATCCCACCTTTGGGATAACTCTGCCTTAAAAGCAAACTGCTGTTCATGGCTGCAAACTCTGAAGTTCAAAATATCAAATGAACTTCTTGGTCTGTAGTGTGGGAAGAATTCAGAAAATGCACGTCGTGTACAATTGCAAAAAGAGCAAAAAGCAACAAAAGCCTATTTTAGAAATCAGAGATCTATATAAAGCTCTGGCAAAGCCCGTGCATCATTTCAGTGACACCAGAAGCATGAAGAGAGACTCATAAAAACTGGTGGGTCCCCTGGTACAGCCTGACCCATCCTCTCTCAAGTCTCCCCGTTCGCAGGGGTCCCTGACCTTGACCTTGCCAATGACCAATGTGAGCATGACAGTGCAGCAGCTGCAGTTGTCAATGACCCCAGCCCAGCCTTTGGGCACAGAATGAGCATCCTATGCTGGTATTACAGTGTATTATAAAACGCCCTCGATACTGTGGAAACGTTGATTTTCTGCCTGCAGACTTCCGTGGAAAGAAAAAGTGCTTTCACTTAGCAGCACTTTCCTGTCCCTGCAACAGTAATGGAGAATCTGGGAAATGTTTCCTCCCTCTTGGAGAGCTCTGAAATGTGGAGAGTGCCATTTTGCTACATTTCCTGCTGAGCACATTAGGAGAGCACGTAGGACTGCTAAGGGTACGTCATTTATTGCATGGCAATGCCACCCAACTTTTCAGCCTCAATATTGGCTGATAATGCAGATCAGTACTTTGGGCAACATCTAGTCAGGACTGTGGGACTCCTGAGAGAATACAGCAGGTGAGGAAAGGCAAACTGAGTGATGACATTCATTATGATGTGGAGACAAAAGTATTTGGAGGAATTTCACCTCTCTTGAGCGAGGAAATGCATTAGCTATTAGTCATCAGCATTTGTAACAGGGAAGGAAGTGTGATTTCACTGCCTTCAATGCTGTAAAATTATCATTACGGCAGAACCAGGCCCAGCTATCTATTCATCCAAGTACTTACACGCTGCTAGTCATAAACATTCTTCTTTAAAAAAAAAACCCTAAATGTCTACACAAAAGGTGAAAAGGTAGCTGCTTTTTTTTTTTAGATGCAGGGCTTACTATCCAAGCTTGAGATGCATCACTTGAAATATAGGACACTGGATAGCACTAAAGATTAAAAGTGACAAAGACAGCTGTTTGATGATGTGATATTATTATTTACTAAGGCTCAAAGAAACACACACTTCATAAAGACAGAAAAGAAAGGAGCTCAGAGGCTAACTAAACACCACCACAATGATGGATGGTACCCAGCAAGCACACAGAGTAAGCATTATGCTGCTGGGTCTCTGCTTATCTTCAAGCTCAATCCAAGCAGAAGATGAGAGATGGGTTTAACTTTAGAGGAGCAGGGAGTAATAGGATTAAGCAGGATAGAGCGAGTGTCGAAGCAGGAATATGCATGAGAGGCGGCAAAATAAAGAGAGTGGGTGATGGAGAGAAAAAGGCAAGTGAGTCACGAAAGTTGGCCAGAGCAGTGGATAAGGAAGTGAGAAGCTGGAGCTTTGGAGGGAATGACAGTCGTTCCCCAGCATGGAGATAGGCAAGAGCTGGGGTGTTTCTCTCTGGCAAAGTAAAAGAAAAGCCCAGGGACAGATGTGAAGAAGGTCTGGACTTTGCTGCTGCAGCAGCAGCAAAGCGAT